GCTTTAAAGCCAAGTGATTGCTTTAATCAGGGCATTAAAACCTGATTGTAAGATGGAAAAGCATCATCGATAAGAATGGAGATTATATCATTTAATTAATGTTTTTGTGATATATTAGTGTTCGGGTTTTTTCATCTAAAAAAGCGACATTAATTTCTTGACGACCTAATATTTAACATTACACAGTTTTTTAAGATATAATATTTTATTTAGATACGCGGATTTAAAACGCTAGAATCAGAGGTTCGATTCCTTACTTTGGAAACAGGAGATGTGGCTTTGCTGTAAGAAATACATACATACTTTATTTGGAAACAAGAGTCTATTATATATTCGGTAATCTATATATTACTAAAACTTTTTCTGTAATTAAATACAGCAAAAACGGCGCACAATAGCGCTATATTTGTAATGAAGTGGGAATAGAAACAGAATAAAACAAGTTTCGTTAAATATTGAAATTAGCTTGAATTATTCATAACCTCTGAATAGTGGGAGACACAACGGGTTACGGTGGTCTAGTTCTTTAGAATTAATGCTAGGCTTACCTGTTTCTCCACAACGAACCGAATACTGCAAATGATATATAATTGTCCATTACCCGATAATAACTATGAATATAATTCAAAACCAAAACCAAAACTTAGAACATTAACCCTAGCTGTAGATAAAGCGCAGTTTCTTGAGTTGGCGTGAGCGTTATCTTGTGCTAATACAACGAAAACAAAACCTAATCACGAGTTCTTATTCAGGTCAACTAGATAAAAACATAGGTTTCAACACTGTTAAACCATCTGTCATATGTTGTAGTATGGCGTAAGTGTGAGAAATTCACCAGCTTAAGTAAAATTTCAGGTGTACACTTTTGGAAATTAAATAAATCCTAACCCCATGGCGTGTGACCGTGTATAAAATAAGGCATTTCTAAAATACTGTATTAAAATATACTTTGTAAGACACACCATACCAAAATAAAAAACATAACAAAGAAATCGCAATACGCACTGCACAGTTCATTATTTAGCCACCATGTGGCGTATCGATCTGTACTGCATGCTCTAAGACTAAGTCGTTGTTGAATTCTATACGAAGAAGTTAAACTTGGTATGTTCGTCCAAAGGAATACCATATTAGCATTATTAACACTTTGCATACATAACAACACATGAAGGAATACTAGTAGAATAATAGCATATTAATGTATAGTCCAATAAATTCAGTTACTTAAGCCAATATCCCAGCTTCGTTAGAAACAGTGCCCATGACAACAGACTCTAGAATATTAAAACACTTTAATTTTTAGGGCATCTCTTATCCCTCCCCACTTGGAAATAACAGTGACTTTATCTACTCATCAACACTTAGGCCTACTCTCATATTGTTCATACAGGTACATTTTACTAGGAGGAATATTAGTGGTGTACACGAACAGCCTCAAAGTATAAACGACTAATATTTTCTGTACATATCAACACTTAGGCCTACTCTCATATTGTTCATACAGGTACATTTTACTAGGAGGAATATTAGTGGTGTACACGAACAGCCTCAAAGTATAAACGACTAATATTTTCTGTACATATCGTTTACAGGTTACAGTCCATCGGACTTACAACGCTAAAATCCGGGGCTCGATTCCCCGTGGTGTCAAATAGTCTAGAGTGTCTTTGTTCTAGAAAAGAATAAATACAACACATACATAAAGTATTTTACAGTGCTTTCTTACGACAGTTATACGTAACAAGTTTTACATTTCTGAGTTAAGAGTTTTATAACAAACATGTAAGATGTACAAACTTACTCTGAATGATTAACAATATTAATATCTATTACGCGTTGGCTGTGAAATTTTAAGAGCTTATGAACGAAAGTAATACCCAAATCATAGGTCGAGGATTTAGAATTTCAAAGATTGTAATATACATTCTATGTACTGGAAATGGAAAGAAAAAAAAGGAAGTGAACATATACATCGTTTTCAGGATGTTTCTACTACACTGTTCAGAAAGAAGACTTTTCAAACCAAATGGTAAAACAACTTTTGTACAAGTTTTTTTATTTTGTTCCAAGTGACCACTCATAAAAACTATCACAATCGTTATCCAGAAATACATGTTATCACAAGTTTCACTAGCTGCTAAAAACGGTAAAACTGTTCTTACACAATAAAAAACAACACAGTGACCGTGAAACATGGATAGGTTGATGACAATCTTTACATTCTCGTGCGATAACAGGTTAGTCTGAATATTTTACCTGTACCTGAAAGATTAGACAAAAACAAGTTTGGTCGACTAAGATATTTCTGTTTTCTTGGAATTCAACGATCATGGCAGACAATACTTAAAGTTCAGTACTTTTACAGCTAGCACCAAAAGAACATTAACAGATGTTCATCCTATTATTTTTTTAAGTATTATCTTTTACACATACATGTAATTTATTTTAAAGTGGAATTTTTGAAGATGAATGGTTGTCCTCGAAATACTTGTTCTTTCTTCCCTTCCTTAGATTTTCATCACTAAAATCATCGTCGCCATGATGATAAGTAGCTCACGTGATCACTTACCTTTAATTTGTAGTTAATTACTAATCTATTTATTAATTACTAATTAGTTTTATTTTGCAATTCAGTTTGCTAATATGATGCCGTGTTCAGAGAATTCCTGAGAAGGACTTTTCCTATGGTGGTAATGGACGGGATTCGATTACGGATCTTCTTGATAAAAAGGGATTTTTTCTCATTAGGATTTTAATTAACTAACTTATTTTAATACTTTCAAGAGGGATATCTAGGTTTTGCTAACTTTTTTCTTTTTTTTTCTAAATTGGCCCTGAGCGTGTTATCAGTAGGGTGTATTTAAGGAACCCTTATTTTAATCTGAATTGTTAGGGACAATAATATAATATTTCTTGGAGCTGATTTATCTTTGGTTTTAGAATTCTCAATCAGTTATAAAATAGAATATAACAACTAAAATCTATGATAAAGCTAGTTACTATCCTCGAAACTTGTCTCACTTCAACTGCCATTTCTTCAACGTTACCCGGTGATAAAGCTAGCTATATCCTCGAAACTTGTCTCACTTCAACTATCATTTCTTCAACGTTACCCGGTGATAAAGCTAGCTACTATCCTCGAATCTTGTCTCAATTCAACTTTGCCTGTTTATGCCCCTATATCAAGAGATATCAAGCTTATCGTACAGACTGAATCATGTTTTAGAAACACACGATGTATTCATAAAACATTGTCAAGAAATGTAAGTGCATGTCGAGCTGCCGATCGAAAGGTTTGTGGTTCAAGACATCATGGCACCCAACAAGCTCTGAACTTTGAACTTTGTCACTGTTCGTCTCAATGACTTCCTCTTTTTAATATGATCAGATTTCTTTCCTTCAAGGGCATATTCCCCAGAACTGATTAATCCTAAAGTTCATACCCAACAGTAGTAACGTGAGCCTACAAGTCACAACCGTTGACATCATTTAACCTGAAACTTTGTAGTTCCCTATGAAGTACGTCCAGTAAATTACACCTCTGCTCCTTGTGTTTTGTAGTCCTCTACCAAATGGAAAAACGTACCCAGTAAAACAAAGCTCTTTTATATCGATTTATCCTGCCCCCCTTAGTGGCTCAGCGATATGTTTATACTGCAAACAAAACAACTGTTTATCCTTGACCTTTGTAATCAATGAAAAACAAAAGGTCCAGTTGATCAAACATTTCTATTTATCTTTGAATTTTCTAGACTCCACTAATGAATAAAAGTTGACCAAAGCACTTATAGATCCATGTAAATTTTAAAATATATATCTAAATCTGATAAACTTATGGGAGAAATACAGTACATTTCAAATTATATATATCTAAATCTGATAAACTTATGGGAGAAATACAGTACATTTCAAACTATATATATATCTAAATCTGATAAACTTATGGGAGAAATACAGTACATTTCAAACTATATATATCTAAATCTGATAAACTTATGGGAGAAATACATTACATTTCAAACTATATACATCTAAATCTGATAAACTTACGGGAGAAATACAGTACATTTCAAACTATATACATCT